GTGGCGCCGTACGGTTGGACTGCGCAGATGGATGCGACAAAGAAAACCTGCAGAGAAGGAGTGATTTTAAAGGTGAAGAAGAGAAAAATAAAAGGAGCTTTACATTACGTTTTAGCAAAGAAACGAAAGCAACAAAAACATAAATAGATGCTTGTATTATTTAGTTCACATTTACTGAAGACGTGTTTTCATTCATCTCCCCTTTAACATTTTTTTTTTTAATTTAATCCCAGAAACAGAAGGAAGCCATGCAGGCTTGAAGCACCCTGTGGTGCTTTTGAATTCATGGTTTTAATTTTGTCAATCCAGTGTCAAAAGCGTTTGACAAGGCGTTTAAACCGTATTTGTAAAATACCAGAATTAAAAATAATATTTCACTCATGTGATGATTCTCCTCCCTCTATTGATTCATCCAGTTGGCAGTAAGCTTCTTAAGTCAATCCAAAATGGATGACTTATCTGAATTTACAGGCTCTTAGACAAATGTTCTCAAACCTAAACCCGACCACAGCTTCTCCTGCCAGAGCCATAACTCCTCCTGAAAAACAACTTCACTTTTAGCACCAACCCATTTTTCCTGCTTCCCTTTTTTAGCTTTAAGGTGAGCAAGTTTATGTCAACAAGAACATTTTTGTCGTGTTGAGTGTTATAAGTGTTTTTCTGCACAGATCTAGTATGTTGAGTACAATTATTTAGTCTGCTGCTAATAAAACCTCAGTCTTGCTTTTGTGTTATTAATTCACCAATTTTTATAATAAATGGAGAAGGGAAGAAGACCTATTTTATCTGGTTTTGTGTTTCATCTGATCAACAATCTGAAGACCAACAAGCGGAGCGCCGATGGCCTCCATTGCTGAAGGGTTTGAATAGTGAATGTTTGTAGTTTATGAGTGGACTGGAATTGAACGGGGAATGCAAGTAAACAATGATTTCGAGACAAGATGTTCAAGTAGGTAGGAGTTACGTGCAGAGTGATGGCTCCTGGATCGTGGAGGGAACAGGTGCAGTGGCGAAGCCAGTGAATGGCCAACGGTGGCCTTAGCCGCCATAGAATAATCTTCAGGCACCCCAAGGGCCACCCCAACCATTTGAGGAAATTACACCTTTAAGCAATATAAAAACTAGAAAGCCAACATCTGTACAGGTTTTTTAGGGGGTGGCTCAGAAGGAAACGGAGCACTCCTCTGTAGCTTTTTAGCTAGCATGTCTGTATTGTGCGCTGCTAGCTTTGCGCTAACTGCTGCCAGCAGTTGTCGACGTGGGGAGGGGGGGTTTCAGTTCGATAGGCAGGGCAATCTATTCTATTGACAGGGCGGGGTGCCCTTCTTGTATAACGGTAGGTAAAACACTGATATATATATAAATATATATATATGGCAGCAGCCATCTTGGATTTTGACCTGACAACTCAATTTTCGATAGGAATCAAAAATGTGGCTACATCTAGATGTAGCTACACACCAAAATATAAGTTGGTAACTCGTTTATTTTTCAAGTTATGCTCACAACATGCACGGATGGATGAACAGGCGGACAGAGGGTATTTCCAATTTCAAAAACTAGTAGACACAAGTTTAGAAATACTTTTTTTTGTTGTTGCTAAACTTCCAAAGAGCTGGAAGCAGTACTGCGATTTTTTAAATGAAATATGGAGGTTTTTCTTATAAAATATGTGGAAAGGGCCTCTACATGCATGAAATAAAGAAAGAAGCATCGACGTAGCTGTGGAGAGCTTGTTTTCAAGTAAACTTGATCAATGCACCATAATCATCCATTTTTCCTTGGAAACTGAAACAGCAGAACAAGAAAGTTTTTAACTGAGCAGTTAGACATTTGTTCACAGTCAGCTACGTTAGATATAGATAATAAAAAAGAAAAGGGAGTCGATACAGTATTTGGCACGTACAGCAGCTTTAAACAGTCCAACACGGAACATTGAACCCATTATTTTGTAACCCGGAGCTTCCAAAGTGGTCAGAGTTTTAATACTTCACCTGTGATCGATTAGAATTAGATCTTATTGGCCTCATACTCTCTGCCTGACTGCCTCAAGCTGAAATCAAACTTCCACAGAGCTTCAGCGCAGCAAACGCATCATCCAACTGAAGCAAATGAGTTCGTAAATCCCATTACAACATTTAGAAACCAAAAGCTCAGCAGTCTTGTGCCAGGGCTGATTCTAATATTATTTGTTTTTTAACTCGGAGATGAGAGTCCTTAAAGCTTCTGAACAACAACAACAACAAAAAAGAGTACAGCTAATGATTGAATACATGTACAACATGCGTCCAAACCCAAACTCAATGGAATTACAGTAAAAACCGACAGTGAGACAAAGTTTGAACTGTAACAGTAACAATCCCAAGTATACGGTCTGTTCCATGGGAGCATGAATAAAAGTGGAAGTTTTCTTTAAAATACTTGGATCATTATTGAGGTTTTAGCAGCACAACAGCAGGACTTCAGTGTAACAGCTGATTATGCGTTAGTTTTATTTTAGAAGAATTTTTAAGTTGGTCAGACTCAAGATTGAGTAAAAGGTTTGGAACTAGAAAAGACTATGTTTAATTGCAGATTTTTTTTAATCGTCAATTTCATTAGTCATAAATACTGGGCTGCGCGGTGGATCAGTTGGTGGAGATGCTGCCTCTCAGCGAGAAAGTCTCCGGATCAAATCCTGGCCGGGGGGGGGGGGGGGGG